ATGGCATAGGGTTGACCGGTTGGTCAAACGGGGCCAAATTATCAGTATCGGCAATCTATCAGATAACAGCCCGAAAAGGGATTTCGGAGACTTCTAAATTAAAGTTGAGGGATGCATATTGATTCTAAGGTCCATTAAGAATTGGGAACAAGTGTTATATTTTATTTGACCCGATAAAATAAAATATACTTAAAACAGTCCGGAAAAATACAACTTTCGGGGCAAATTGCACACTTTGGGACAAATTAGGATGACCTCCCACATGGGTGGGGGCCACCCCACGAAATTGTCAACCCTTGAGGGCTGGATGAGTGCCAAATTGGCTGAACAACAATTGAGAGGATGGGGGAGACACCTTTGACATGTAGTAGACCCCCTCCCTTCACTCATTTGTCTAAATGAGACAAAAACCACCCCTCTCACCTCACCATCTCCACCCACACAACTCAGCACCCTAGGATATCAAGGAGGGGCTCTGAAACTTCTCATCTCCATAGCCCAAATCCGAACTCAAGCTCAAGGGAGTCCAAGAAGAAAGTTTAAGAAGGAAAAAGCTAGGAAAAAGTGTGAAAATTAAGGTAATGACCTTATCATAACTTTTCCTTTGTTTTTCTTCTAGCATATAAGATATATATCATATGAAAGACTTCTAGTATTGTTCTACATGGTTTAAGTGTGGAATAATGGGTTGGAAAGTGATTCTAAGTCCAAAAACGGACTTAGAAGCCAAATCGACCGGTTTGCCGGAAAATAACCTTTTATAGGTTATTTGTGTTGATATGGGTTTTGTGATGATAAAACCGTGTTAGGAACTTGATTTAAAGTATTTTTGAGCTTCGCCGGAGTTTCGTCGGAGTTGGTCAAAGTTCGCCGGAGTTGGTCAAAGTTCGCCGGAGTTGGTCAAAGTCCAATCGAGAAACGTAGAACGCGCTTAAGCTTAATTAAGGTGAGGATGACCGACTATGTTACTTATAATCTTTGGGTTAATTTCATGGGATTTCCTAAGTGAATATAAATGTGATGTGCATGAATTGTTGATGGTTAATGATGCCTAAATAGAACTACTATTGATTAAAAGTATAGTATGCATGATACACAAATTTATGAATAAATTGTGTATGTTTGGATGTTATGAATATGTGTGTATGATGGTTGTACCAACCATGAATATCATTTGGGATAGTATACTTTGATGCCATGAGGAGAAGCCATGAAGGTATGAAAGTGATACTTGATATTAAAGCCAATTATGCAAGAAGAAGGAATTATATTGAAATAAATAAATAACTAGCATTGAAATATTAGTTGGAAATGTTAGTTGAGAAATGGATGAATTAGATCCTAAGAATTTGAATTATAAGGAATCGGTGATTATGAGCCGGGCTCAAGACCGATGTAGATGACGTTGATTATGAGCTGGGCTCTAGACCGTAGTAGGTGACGGTGATTATGAGCTGGGCTCTAGACCGTAGTAGATGACGGTGATTATGAGCTGGGCTCTAGACCGTAATAGATGACGGTGATTATGAGCGGGGCTCTAGACCGTAGTAGATAACGGTGATTATGAGCTGGGCTCTAGACCGTGGTAAATAATGATGAATTGATACTAAATGAACGGATTAACTAAAATGTAATAATGCTCTAGATTGAGGGCCTCAGAGATTTAAACTTTGATTATACTTAGTATAGTTGTCATTGTACTTGTCAAATGCTTCCAAGTACTGACCTCCCCTTCACGGGGGAGGCCACCTCACAGTTTCAGGTAGAACTTGAAGGTTGCTACTACCAGCCGCTGCTTCGGAAAGTTTCTGAGGAGAAGACTTTGTTCGTGCTTCTCTCGTTCTTGTTTTGAAGACAATATGAATAATGCTCATGGATAATATTTTCTGAGTAGTTACTTTGGGTGCTTGCATGCCTAATTATGCCAAGTGTGACTTGAACACTTGTATCAATTGTTTCCGCTGCTTTAATAAATGTTTTACATTATGTTTGTTTATGGATGTACTATGTGTGAATGGTATTCAAGACGCCTTGTATAGTATGGATGAGTCGGACTGCGATTGACTATTCGTACTGTACGGCGGGTTGTTGACGTGTCCGGGTGGGTCCGGGGCGTGACATTCCTATTTTTAGGAATTGGATTCGTCTTCAAATTTTCAAAGTTTTTCTAAACAATGATTCATTGTAAATAGATTCATAGAGACTATGTCTCACTTTTTAACTTTTAATTTCTATTTTTTTATTTCATTAACTTTTACCATTAGAAAGTAATTAATTAAAATTTGAGGAAGTAAATTTTACATTTTCTTATATGGGGGGGGGGGGGGGATTATTTTTTGGGAGGGGCCACTTTTATTTTTTCATATATATAGTAAAGAAAATATTTTTCTTGAGGGGGCTCTAGCCCCCTGGGTCTCTACTAAGGTCCGCTCTAATAACATTGGGCAATAGTTAAATAAATCAATTTGAATATATTTGAGAGGCAATTTGGATGTGTCAGACATAGACCTTCACAAAAACGGGTTCGGACCGCGCTCGAGCCGGGCTTTTAATAATTTTTTTTGCCTATTATGTGTGGGCGGACCTGGCCCGGCTCGCAAAAACGGGCCTAACCCCGTGTCCATACCCGCCCATAAGAGCGGACCGGGTAGTCCACCGGGCCGCCCGGACCGGCAAAACTTGAAATTTTCAAAATTATACTCCCTCCGTCCCAATTTGATAGTCTCATTTCTTTTGGGCACAAGTTTTAATAAAGTGGTTGAAAAGGTAAAAGTTGTGGTTGAGATTTGAAGATAATAAAATGAAATGATATGGACCACATCTTTTTTCCAAAAAGGGAAACAGGACCAACATTTTGAGACATCCCAAAAAGGAAATACAAATAAGAGCGGACCGGGTATTCCACTGGGCCGCCCAGACCGGCAAAACTTGAATTTTTCAAAATTATATAATTTTTTAATTCTTTTAAAATAATATAACAACATTTAAAAATGTTAATTCACTTATAGTTTTATAGGCATTTCACCAAACACAAAAAAACTTACACAATAATAGTAATATTAATGATAAGTTATGACTAAAATTTAAAAATTGAAGTAGAAAGTATTATCTTTAAGTACAAAATTAGATACTATATTGGATGACTAGTTGTTAAAAACTAAAAACTTAAATTTAACTTCATAAACTATAAACAATTAAACATGTATAAATATAAATTAGGTAATATAAATATACACGTGTACATGTAAATAAATAAATTAGTACATATATAAATATATATGTATATATACTAAATGTAGCGGGCGGGACTTATAGGCCCGAACGAGCTTACACCCTAACTCAAGCCCGCCCATATGCTATTGCGGACCTGCCCCGTCCCAGCCCAGTGGGTAAATATTCCGGAGTATGTTTAAGCCCGCCCGTTTTTTTGCAGGTCTAGTCAGACAATGGCTTTGTTATGTGTGTACTAATAATGTAATGCTCGTAAAGTTGTCTATTTAAAAGAGTTAATTATTCTTTTAAATAGAATTAAATAAAAGTCGTGACGGAGAGTGTTAGATTGTCAATCAATTACGGACCATATCTGTTTAGGCTATTAGGCATAAAAAACTGTTGCTTGCTGTTAATTTAGGTATGGAGTGTAAAGAAAACAAGCTGTGTAAATAATGTTGGGTGGGATTCTAAGCAGATCCAACTAATTACCTGATTAAACATCAATGAAATTAAAAACCATGAAACATGCATATAATTGGGCTGTTATCATATTCTAAACCTAATAAAACACCCGACAAAACTTTGTCATGTGGAGGTTTTCTTGCGTTCACAAAGTTATAAGTTATATATAACGTAACTAATGTTTTTTTTTAAATTTGTTTAATTCATATACTGGTTTAAATACTACGCATTATATATAACTTGTTTGTGATTCTTTAGGAAATTAAATTAGATATGATGAAAAATGGAGTATATTTTATTTTATTTTATTGTCAGATATTTTTTTTAACAAATTCTTTATAAATAAATTCATCATCATTGCCCCAATGACGCAAAGGTTGGGACTTCGGGTGGGGTAATGGTCTTTACAGATAAATGTGTGTAATAAATACAAAGTCAGAAATTGCACAAGTTTTCAAACACATCTTCACTCTTTGTCATTTTTACTAATACATAGAGTAAATTGATTATATTTTATGATCTTTTTTGTCATAAACATTTTTGTTTTACCTTTAAATGGCTACTATATATGAAGGTGAAGAAAAATACAAAGTGTTAACGATTAATCCATATTTGAGGAAGAATTAATCAGAGGCACAACGTTCACGAGAAAAATACCTTGTTGTCAAGGAGTGTCTAGTGCCTAAAATAGTGATCAATTTATGGGCGTAATTTCTAAATAATTGATACTACGTACTCCCCATTCTTTCACAAAAAATTCTCACTGTAACACATATACAGATAGTACATTTATTTATACTTTATATAAGATAAAATTTGTTTTGATTTTCTTAATATACCTCGATGTTATGTCAATTCAAGAAAAAAGTAGATACAAGTTTAAACGGGAATATTTTTGACATTTCCTATTAGAAACATTGTTTGGATAGAAATGAGAATTTTATTTTGAACATCAAAAGAAACTAACGTATTCTCATGGTGATTTTGGGACATTCAAAAAGAAAAAGCGAGAACTTCACAACGCATAATACTCCGTAACGGGTATTATCTTGTTCATAACGTACACATACACACATGCCGGATATGTGAATTTAAACTAAACATGTAAATTTTGTTAAATTAAAGCACACATTGCCATGATATGTGATGTCTTCGAGGGTCTCATGTTGTTAGGCCATCCCAAGATGTCTAAGTCATGTGATTCAATTCTTTCTTTATTCTAAAGGAGGAAAATAATCATTTTGTGAGCTAACTTTTGTGATTAGTTTCTCTTTTACAGGTCATCCATAAGTGCCTAATTATGTGATTAAATACAACTCTTTTTAAAAGCTAGACGGATATGTCCTCACTTTTTGAATTAAACCCAACTCAAATCACACACATTCAACATATATATATACTAGTTGCTTCTCTTTTACAAACAATTAAGTTAGAAGAACATAGAGGAATACTAATCTTAATAGAAAAAGGAAGATGGTGTCAAGAGGGAGGTTAAGAAGAATAATAAGGCAAAGTAAGCCATATTTAGCGGTCATCTTCTTGCAGTTTGGATACGCGGGTTTAGCCATAATTGCTAAGACCGCTCTGAACAGCGGCATGAGCCATTTCACTTTTGCCGTTTACCGGAATGCCACTGCCGCCGTCTTCTTTGCCCCTTTCGCCTTTTTCCTCGAAAGGTACCGTCTAATGATAGGAGTAAAAGTTGTCCAAAGTGCACATTTAGGAGTCCTTGTGTATTAAAAATAATGGTTAATATGAGTAACTTGATCCTATAAAGAGAAAAAATCTAGAACATATTCTTATTAAGTAGGAATAACCTACTCTATATATAAAGAGAAAACATTCATACTTCTATTTATGATTGTTTTAGACTTTAGTCCTACATGAGTCAGTTTCCATATATAATATGATAGATGTGTCGTCTAAGCATAAAATAACATGTAAATGCAACCCACACAACAATGACACAAAACTGCGTGCAAGATAAAGCTAATTAATTAATTAATTAATTAACGATACGGTTCTTAACTTCTTTATTATTATAACATGCAGGAAAATAAGGCCAAAGATGACAATTTCCGTGTTCTTCAAGATAATGCTGCTTGGATTGTTGGAGTATGTTTTTTAAATATCTAATGAATTATTCGCCAGTTATTATTGTTTTTACTTTAAACATACTACTGTGTATTTTTACTCTGTATAATATAATTCCATCCTACATAAGTAAGCTCTAGTTATCACTGCCCAACAATTGCTTTTTGTAACTATAGAATGGTGATTCAATCAAGATATACATAGTATTATTCTTGTGTCCTATTAGATTTTACAAACTTTCTTTTGTAATTATTTCTAAATTTTATCATTTATCCATTAAAATAACTACTCCGGAGGAATTTATGATTATGTTCCGGAGTAATTTATGATTATGTTCATTTTTATTCCGGAGTAATTTCTGATTATGTTCATTTTTTTCTCCTCTATACAAACTTTAATCATACATTTTTTTATTTTTCCTATTTCTAACATAATTCAAGATTGGCCATATATATGCCTAATGGGATGAATGTAATATACATTTTCCCCTCATTTTTTCTTGAGATGGACTTGGGGTACACACTTGTGTACACACTCTTACACACTCGTGTCTGTGTAAACGCTTTTTTTGTCTGTTCCAGACAAAACGTATTTGACAAATACGTTTTGTCTGGGACAGAAAAAAACGCCTACACAGACACAAGTGTGTAAGAGTGTGTACACAAAGTGTGTACCTTTAGATTTTTTCTTTTTTCTTCAACATAATACGCATTTGAATAGTAAAGATGTTCATATTGTAATCGGCAAAGGCCCATTTTACATTGGAGATATGCTCATTTATCATTTTAGAAAGTACTTTGTGATAAAAAAATGATGACACCCTATCCCTGAGGATCCTCAACACCGATCAGACAGTTAAATGGGAAGATGCAAATTGAACTTTAATCACAAGAGACAAGTATATACGAATTGCTGAGGTGGGGTGTAATTAAGGTTATAAATTAAGTGAGAACCATCACTGAATATTGTACGGAGTATTCATTCAATTAATTATAAATTGTAATAGTAACTATTAACCAGCAAGAAGCTAGAGATTGTGAAATGCTTTGAAAAAATATAGTATATTTTGATTTCTTGGTGAAGCTAACTAATAAAATATTACTTTTATTTACCGGCACTTAATTGGTCAATAACTTTAATTTATATGAAATAGTTGGTGTTAATTACTCATTTATCAAGCTGAAAAAACTAGCTCTTTATTAATAAGTTTTGGGTACGTACAGGCCGGTGATCGACCAAAACTTGTACTACACAGGGATGAAATACACAACAGCAACATTTACCACCGCATTGTGCAATGTTTTACCTGCCATCACATTCATACTTGCTTGGATCTTCAGGTCTCATTCTTATAATTACCGCTGTTTATTTTCAGAGTTACTTCTCTGGTTAAAGCCTAATGTTGACAAAGATCTAAGGTAGACACAAAACTCGATCGGCACGGATGGATCTAGGATTTCTTGTCAAGGGGTCGAAAATTTTTCATGAGTGTTGGGGGTGAAAATTTTCCGCTAATGTAGCGGGGCGATTTTGTTTTGCTAGTATAGGGCTCTGCGGCAATTTTTTATTCAATTTTTTTATTAATACATACACGACGACATTTAAAACTATTACATTCTAAATTTAGACAATGGAAAAATAACTTTGATTTTAATTGAAATGCTCTAAAAAAAGTATTGATACATTAAATCGTAAGAAATAGCAATTCAAAGGAAAGTTATTTGAAGATAAAGAGTTTAAAAGGTATACATCCACTAATACTTTTTAAATAACTTTTGCCTTGTTTAACCCCATGAATCTTTATCAGAATAAAGAATTGGGTTTTGAATTACAATTTTTGTCTAACAAAGAGGGTGTTTGTGAGTCATGAAGAGTTTTCTTATTATTACAATAGTATGTATGACATTATTATTTTTAAAATTATATTATATTGCTGATTCATATATATGGTGCATATTATATTTGCATTAATGGTAAAATAAGTTAAAGTTTATTAAATATGCAATAATTAGTTTGTAGAACGTAATAAGTAAATGAATTGTGTAATTTAATGTCAACAAAAATTTATATTTTGGATTCACCTCACATTATTTAAAAACTATTTAACTAGTGTGTCTGGTAGTTAATATCATTTGATATATATTTTACAAAATCAAATACTAATTATCTAATAAATATAACTAAACATTACAAAACTAGGAATTTTTATATAATAAATATACCAAGTCTTAAACAATGATTAGAGTTGTTCTATTATACTTCATCCGTTCTTAAATAAGTGCAACAATTAACATTTCACACTTGCCGAGACACAACTTTGACCATTAATATATATAATTCTCTATTAGTAAAAATTTAAGAAAATTAGTTTTTGAAAATTTACAATGAGACAAATTTAATAATATTTTTTTCAAAAAAATATATTAATACATCAATAAATAAAATGTAGTCAAAATAGAACATGTGAATAGTGTAAAATTTGACATGTTGCACTTATTTAAGAACGGAGGTAGTATTGTTTATTTACTTAAGTATGTAAATTATTTTAGACGTTTCTTCTTTTAAATCTCCAATTAAGTTTTACATTATGTAAGACTATATATTAATTTTGTAAACTAAAAGTTAAGGGGGCAAACACATATATATCTAATTAAAGTATGAAAAATTTTATGAAAATATTACATATATAATGGAAAATTTTAAAAGTTCAAGGGGGTGCCCCCCCCCCCCCCCCCCCCCCCCCCCGAAATCCATCTCTGTTGATCGGTATTAACTTTTCTTAATCAATGATAGACCAGTTTGATCAATGATATTTATTAGTATAAACTTGTTTAAAGTATGAAAATTAATATATTTTCATAGCCGAAATTAATAGACAAGTGAAAAAATCCTTTGTTTAAACCCCTTTCATAAAAATAAAGAATTATAAATTTCACTAAAATATAATACAAATAGATTAAAATCATTGTTCAAAGTTCACTATTGATCGTATCAACAAAAAAATACGGAGTAGGACTATTAGTGTATATTCCCTTCGTCCCAAAAATATGACTTATTTAATCATATACAAAAAGAATGCAAAACTAAAATCTTCTCTAAAACCTTTTTTTTTAATATTCCCATTTGAAAACGTTCACTATCTTCCCTAATTAGAGGATAAAAATATCAAACCATTTTAAGATTAATTAACCTGCCTGTATGCATGCAGGCTTGAGAAGGTGAACATCAGGAAATTAAAAAGCCAGGCAAAGATATTGGGAACAGCAGTAACGATGGGCGGTGCGATGATAATGACATTTATTAATGGGCCCGTTATAGGATTGCCTTGGACAGAAGAGGCCCAGGCCTCAAGCGCTGTTTCTGTTCATGCACAACAGAGTTCCATTATGGGGGCTGCAATGATCACTGCGGGCTGCTTCTGTTGGGCTTGCTTTTTCACCCTTCAGGTAACTAATATCCCTACCACTTTGTAATCAGTGTTGGAAATATTGGGACAAGTTGGAATTCAAATATGGTAAATAGAAATATTCGTAAAATACATTATTTTTTTTTTAAAAAAAGGAAAAAGCGTGAATTCAAATATGGTAAATATTGGGACAAAAAATTAGAGATCCAAAGCGAACTACTTAAATTTGCCTGTGAATAGTAGAGTGTAACTTTCATTTTGTGACAAAGGTAGTATTAAGACTTAAATACGTTTTAGTCCATGTAAATAATAAATATGGCACACATTATTATAGGGTCTTTCATTTTTTTTCATCCCTATAACATGCACTGGTTTATTTTTAGTCCATCTCTAACACTCTCAAATCTCTCTACTTAGAAAAATTAATTGTGAGTTGCATAAATGCAATCTAACAGCCCGTTTGGTGACCCCTTTTTTCGGCTTATGAGCCGGTTTTTTCACCAAACACCTAACTTTTGATTTCGCTCGCTGAATTTTGTAATAATAAAAAAAAGTAAGGTTGAAGTTACTTTTCTGGCTGTATTGGCTGAAGTTACTGTAGAGGACCATTTTAGCTATTTTTTCATATAACTTTTTATTTAATTTATTAATAACAATTTTTTTAAATATAATTTCTTCATGAATCAGTAGAATCAGTCAATACAGCCACTTCAACCATAATTTCATAAATTTCATCAAAATCAGCCAAATCAGTCACTTTTAATAATGTTACCAAACAGGCTCTACATTAACTTACCACTCACTTCTCTAGCTATGGATCGATTAAATATACAGGCGGTGACGTTGAAATCATATCCGGCTGGGCTCTCCCTTACTTGCCTAATATGCGGGATGGGGGCAGTACAAGGAACTATACTGACTCTAGTGGTTGAGAGGGGAAACACTGCACCTTGGGCCATCCACTGGGACACCAAGCTCTTGGCATACATTTACAGTGTATACATGAAATTTAATTCCTGTGATTTCATTTGCAGATTAAATGCAGATTCAGATAGAAAACCACAATTAATATATAATCTTCTATATCTAGCTGGTGTTATTGATTAAATACTTAATTAATGCAGGGAATTGTATGCTCAGGAGTTGCTTATTACATATCAGGAGCAATCATGAAGGAACAAGGACCTGTTTTTGTCACTGCTTTTAATCCTTTGAGCATGGTCATTGTTGCGGTTTTGGGCTCGTTTATATTGGCAGAGCAATTGGACTTTGGAAGGTTTAGTATGGTTTTTCAAAATGTTATTTTATGATACGTACTCCCTCGATCCCTCAAAATAAAGTTTCGCCCACAACTTTCATGTAAATAATAAAATAAAAACAGCGTGACGGGAGAATATAATAGTCAATCACAAAGTTATTACTTTTAATCAAAATTATAAATAAAAATGCAGCGACTATATGAGTAATATGTAATTTTTTAAAGAAAATTTACAAAGTTAAGTGGAAGAGAATATGTCTCGTTTCTTTATTTGAAAACTTTTACATAAATTTTCTACTTTTTTCTGTCATTATCTTTCGTACCTTTTCTACCCTAATTATTATACACTGAAATAAATATTCACAGTGACAAGTAAAAAAGAACAGAAGTACTATAGTTTTCTACTAAAAAACCTTGTAAAGGCTAACATGAGAATGATCCGATTAATTTTGTTGATCAAAGAAGAGATAATAAACTTAAATAGGACTAAATTAATTAATTCCTAAATGAACAAAATAGAACTATGTTTTTTATATTCTCCAAATAGGACTAAAGTATACTCTATCTTCCTATTCCATCCTTACCACAACTTAATAGGATAATCATATTTTAATTTGTAATATATACAAAAAATAATAATAAATAATTTAACTTATACAAAAACTCGTAAAAAAACATAAAAATTCTAAAATATTTTTGAAAAATACGAAAATCATAAAAATTAAAAAAAAAAATTTTGAAAAAAATTAAAATCTTTAAAAATAAATAAAAAATAGATAAAACTCCTTAAAAATATAAAAAAAATATGGAGGCCTTTCCCACAGTCTCGGCTAGTGCCCATCAAAATTTTCTCTTATCGGCTAAAAAATGCCATTTTGTGTAAAAACAGTCATTTTTTCTCCGAAAATGCCATGAATATGACATTTTTACTCTTAAAAATGCCAATTTTTTCTCAAAAGCTGCCATCAAGATGGCATCTCTGACTCATTTTGGCATTTTTTTGGGTGATCGGAGCTGGTGGTGCCGGGAGGTTGCTGAGGCGGCAACATAGGCCTGCATATTTTTTTTTAAATATTTTTTACATTTTTTTTATTTTTTAAGTTTATTATTTTATAAATTTTTATCATCCTATTTTTATATTTTTATTAATTTTAAATAATCGTTTTTTCATTATTTTTTTACATATTTATTTTAAATAAAGTTATGTGTGTTACTTTATATTTTAAATATTAATGAAATATGAATTATGGAATTTTTAAGTAATGATCCTATTTTGACAATAAAAGTTTCATTTAGTCATATTTGGAGAATTCTCCCATCAAAGGATGATCTGATTATTGAGGGAACAAATATTAAATATTTTTATTAGTAATATGATGTTTTTTTATCACTGTGTAGAGTTTTGGGGGCATGTGTGATTGTGGTTGGATTGTACCTGGTGATTTGGGGGAAGAACAATGATGGTCAAGATCAGTCAAGCGGGGATCTAACGCCTCCAATTGATCATCAGCCACTGCCCGTGCCCGTAAACCATCTGGAACATCAATTAGAAATCGCTACAGAAGTGCCTTCAGAGACGGTATGATTTGGTACAGATTAGAGGAAGAAGACAATTTTTCGAAATCACTACTGGTTATTACCCCTATGTTAGCTAGTGAATATGTGACTTTATGAAGGGTAAAATGGTAAATTTCCCCATGATGTAGCCAACCTGTAATGTCCCCTAAGATCACTAGAGAAGAAATGGATATTACATAAGTTGTTCACTCATTTATATATAAACGACGGACTAATCTTCTTATATACAAAACACAGTGGAAGATTGGAAGAATTTCCCGCCCAAATGCAATGCCAAAAACGGGTCAAATGGGTTAAACGGGTAGGGAACTGCCTCAGTGTACAATTCAAACCTTGCATTTAATGTTTTCTTACTTTACTTGCTTTATGCATCGAAACTGCAGTATGGGCTGCTGACATAGTATTAATTATAGCAGCAAGATGTCTTTTCAAAACTTTTTTGGAACATTAAATGCCAAAGCACCAATGGTTGTTCCTTTATTGGCTACCCTGAGAGATTTAAGGGATGTATATTCTATTGCAAGATAAGTCTATGTTTTCTATATCAACTGACATAGTATAATCCTCAATTGAAGAAACTTGACATGAGAACCATTAGTTGTTCCTTTATTGGCTACCCCGAGAGATTTAAGGGACATATGTTCTATTGCCCATCTCACACTACCAAAATAGTCGAGACCTAACATGCTGAATTCCTTGAGAATACTATCATTAGTGGGAGTAGTAGTGGTTCAAACATTTGTGATGAACTTCAAGAAAGTATTGGAATGAATCCTCATTTGAAGATCAAAGTCATAACAGATTTTACCAAAATCTCTATTAGCAGCTCCCTTGGTAAGTGGTAACTGTCAACGATTGGATTTTTCACAAACTGTTGTGTGTCTTATTACATCTGTCAAACTAATACTTCGTATTTATACAAAATACAAGGCCTCTAAATATGCCCAAATACATACCTAAATACTTCAGTATGTAGTGGTGCTATCAGTAACTCACAATCCTCCATTTTCAGATAGTTATAAAATCGAATTTCCAATTTTTTTAGAGCCTTCTCATTTCAAATTTAATGCACTAAAATTATTCTCTTTTTTTTTAAAGCCAACTTTTATTTAATTCTAGAGCTTGCTTTTACATGGGGCATCCGGTTCGGGTGAGAAGCTTTGCCGCTCCGTACTATATAAGATAGTTAGTTAAATACGGTACGAGAATTAAACGTGGTTTAATACGTACGGGTTTTATTCGGTAATTTGGAAAACAAATACGGTCAAACATTCGGCAAAAAATACGTTGACTTTTATAAAACATGTAAATACGTATACGTGTATAATACGACATCTCTTAGAAAAATTCGGGTTAAAAATACAGACCTTATTTTGAATGACTAAATTATTATACTAGTTTTTAGAGCATAAAAAAACATATAGTACATGAAGGATAATCAACATACACACACATTCAAATATAATATCTCATTACTCCATCAAAAAGTGCATTGATAATAGCATAAGTTCATGACAAAAAAAGAAATAATGATTAAGTCCAAAATAACATTAAAATTATATACTTCATAAAATAATATATAATAAAAAGAAATAAGAGTGTACACATATTGAAGTAGCAAATCACATTACTACATAAAAGAATATAATTCGTAATAGAATAAGTCGATGACAAAAGTAAAAATAGTACGGAGTAATTAAGTCCAAGACATAATTTTGCAAAGAAATGTCAGAAAATAAGGCATAATAACGATAGAATGAGGCCAAGTTAACATCATCATCATCTTTATATGATAATCAAATAACACTCAAGTTAAACTCATCATTTTCACATAGATGACGGATGACATGAGAAAGTTGTGCGACTGCTACTCTTATTATTGTTTATGTGTAAACGTTTATACTAAAAAATATCAGATTTAGAAAAACCTTAATTTTGATATGCTTGTTTGGAAAAGAACATCACAAATCTAATACATAGTAGTATTTTAGATTTTAGTTCTTCACGATGCTAGCTTTAGTCAGTATGTAATTAATTTTAGTATTTAACAATTGTATATTTTGTATTGTAACAATACAAAAATACGGGGTCACGGGGATGAGGTTTTCTTTTTTGCTTTTAAAATATTGTTGATCTCCTATTCATTTGATGTATTCATTCAATTGATCAAATGATGTTTTTATTATTTGTAAAATACGGGAAATATACGTTTCATACGGGAAGTGGAAGTTTTTTTCCTTTTTAAACGGACCGACATTTTTTTTCATTTTAAACGCGTTTTTTTGTTAAAAAAAAAACGGTACGTGTTTAATACGCGTTTTAAACGCAAAAAAGCTAACTAGGCTATATAATGAGGTGACTAGTGAGTGGAGCGGCAATGACATATTGATAATGAGACAATGGTAAACCATTGGAAAAGAAAAACGCATTTCAAATTAATAAAATAAGATTAACTTAAAATTTTGTTACTCAGTGACGGTACGTAGCAGAACAGCTATAGGGTGTTTGGCAATCGGCTGTTATTGAATTAATTTATTTTGTTCACTAACCACTTATACTCCGTATGTATTACACGTTTAGCTAATGTTATTAGTCAACAACTTTATTTAATAAAAAAAATAATATTTTACTAACACAACTAACAATTCTTTAAAACGTTGTGTTTCATAAATTTAATAAGTATAATGAAAAAGTTATTCGAAGTATGTGGACGCATGATTTTGGAGGAGTGGAGGATGATTTTTCAAGTTGTCAGAGCTTCACGGTTGGTTTTTTCTTCTGGACGCAGGATGTGGAGGAGTGGAAGATGAAGTGACCGGCACGAAAGAAGGGAGGCAGCCTGGATAAAAGAGGAATATAATTATTATTCTTAATTAATTACAAAGATAAGAAAGAGATGGAAACATTAATTAAGAAGATGAAGATGAAGATGAAGTTTTATTATTCTTAATTATAATTAATTACAAAGATAAGAAAGAGATGGAAACATTAATTAAGAATATGAAGATGAAGTTTTATTATTCTTAATTATAATTAATTAAGAACTTAATTATAATTAATTAAGAAGATAAGAAAGAGATGGAAACATTATTTTCAAAAGTTAAAACAAAGGTTTGGAATCAATACATCACTAAATACCAAAAGATTACAAACTATAATATTTAGTAAAGCAAAACATAGCAACAAGTCAATACTTAGCAAGATTTCGTACTTAATGACAAGGATCATCAATCAGAATGCTCCCTCCCATTCTACTGCCAATCTGATCAAAAAGGAAAGTTGAGCAAAACTGTTGGAAGCAAAAAGGCAAAAATCTCATATATGACTGGTTTTATTTCGATTTGAAACCACCTAATTTCTATTTGAATCCAAGCTGAAGAACCTAACTGCAAGTATGGTCAACTTATGCCAATTGTGAGTCAAATTCACATGCCGGCTCTGAGCATTTTTTGAAATAGATACATGTGATAATGTGATATAGACAAAGTATCAGGATGTAGAGAAAACGTGTGCAAAATGGCATGTACAAATGAAATGAATTGCTATTGTAGTGAAAACATCAAGTAGCAAGTTGTTTGCACACTAGTACTCATACTCCATATTAAGCATTAACAAGATTTTCTTTATAATAGTACAAGGATTCACCAAGCAGCAAGTTGTTCGCACACTCTCTCCTATCAATAAACACTACACTTGAAGATTGCACTGAATCAGAATTAACACTACACTTGAAGATTGCACTGAATCAGAATCTTATTTTCCCAAGTAAAGCCACATAACTCTTAGCGTGTACAAAGTAGTGCAAATAATAATAAAACTTACAAAAAGGTTCATGTTTCAAATGCCAAACCAAGTATTACAAAGATAAGTATGTGTTTTCTATATAAGTTGTAGACTTTGACTACATATTCTAGCATAGGAGCTCTGTGTTGGAAAGATCTTATGATCCTTCCATTCTTGAGTTATATCAATATTGCTTTTCTTGTAAACCTGAGTATACCCCGTCGGATTTGAAGCAAACTTAACACCCTTCTTTTCTAGAGTTAAGTAGATCATCTTCATTTCTTGAGTTTCCAAATCAACAGAAATTAAGTATGGGATATAGTTTTCTCCATCAGGAAAACCTACAAGTGAACCGGGGTAATCATTCCTGCGATAAGTGCTCATATAAGGAAATGCAAGCAAATGAGAACGACCACCCAGACTCCAAATACCAATAGGGAACCAAGATTCCTCCCAGGTTCCAAACCCCACTGGATTCCAATACTCATGCTTGTCAATGCTTGCTCCACATTCTATCCTCCACTGTTTATGCCAATCCACATTGTTAGCTTTTTCCCTCATTAGCCAAATCTCAATGTAATTGCTATTCTCTGGAGGACAACAACAAATCATAGCAATAGTCTCATTTGCCACAGTAAATGAAAAGTGTTCCCTTCTGGCTGGCAACTCGATCGTCCCAAATACCTCATCATCCAAGTCAAACCACAGCAACTGATGTGAATCCACAAAATCTATATTTTGTACCTGCCAATAGTATTTCCCCTGGAAATAAAAATCTTGATTAGACTTCACAGGCACATTTGGAAGAGCATCAATTTGCCTCCAGCTCCATGAACCATCACCTACTTGGCTGCAAACCATAACGAATTCATAATTATGTTTGTGATCGACCGCACAACTTGCGAAATGCCAGAGCATGACAACCTTCCAAGACATGCTGTTAGAAACCCCAAATCCAAACCCTTCAAACATAAGATATGCGACAAGGAATTGAGGGGGCGGGATGTTAGGCACAGTAATAGACGGTAACACTTTGATTTCCCTGATGGATGGGTTCCATAGCAGAACATCGAAACTCAAATCTTCAGAAAACTCACTCCAACGGATAAGAATATCTCCTTTACCCAGAATGAAACAAAACATTCCATGGCAACAACTTACAAATCTTGTCTTTGAATTTGGGAAATCTACGGACATGCACCCAATCTCATTAGACTCCGGTTCTTGATAAAGCAGGCTGAACATTTGATTAGGGCGGTGACTAGATCCAATTGGCTGCTCTATAATAGCACAGTGATATTTCTCTCTATTAATTTCATAGAATTTGTGTATCAAGTGATGATTGTGCTTTATCAAATCGTAGAAATGTTTGCACACACATTTAAAACGCATGAGAGATTTTACCGGTAACTTCACCAAGATATCAATCAACAGCTCCATCGGTATCTTGCAATCATCCATTTCTGAATAGAGATAGATTGAATTAAAGGTTCGAATAGTGTAAAGATGTAGTCGAGTTCTCTATATTTGAGATGAAAAGATTGGAACACGGATGTGTTGTGTGATGGAAGGTCTAGCGGATGAATATATAATTAGTATGAGCAGTCTCCTTATGCACTGTGTTAGGTTCGGTAGAGCACGTGTATGTTTGACACTGTGTTAGTTTCGGTAGAGCAGTGTGTATGAGCCGGGATTACTGTTTAAAAAGTCTTACCGGTGGGCGTAGCTCAACTGGTAGGAAGGGAGTGTTACAAGGGTTAGGTCTCGGGTTCGAATCCCGGCAAATGCGATGAGGGGTTACTATGCTAAAAAATGCATAGGGCCTCTACAAGTACCGGGGACAGAGCCCCACTCTCTATCTGTCAGATTGGGATTATAGTCCAACTTACATCCTCCCAACGTACTGTCCGGTCGGGGTTGGGGGGCCCTCAGGGATGGGGTGTCATCCTTTTTTTACTATTTAAAAAGTCTTTAAAAATTTGTATATGTATCTTTGGCGTGTCAATTTTTAAAAGTTTTTAAAAATAAAAGATTTTATTTGAGATCCTACAGTGTGTAGTATTTCAGATAAGTCTGTAGCTTCTAGCATTAGTTAGGGTATGTTTGACACAATTATTTGAAAAAATACTTTTATGAGTTTTTTAGTAATGGTTAGATTTAAATGACTGATAAGGTCTTTAAAAAAAGCAGTAGTTGTTTGATAAAAAGCTAAATGCTTGATTTAGCTCTGTTTGGTATACAAGCTGTTAGGACAAAAAGAAAAGAGAAAAAGAAAAGAGAAAAAGAAAGGAAAAAACAAAAAAGGAAATGAGGAAAAGTGCCACATGGACCGCCACACGGGCTATGAACTGGGAACCGGATTTTTACCGTTTAAAAAGATCAAGTGAAGTTCGAGATTTTAATTGGGTGTTATGGTACGTGGATCTATTTGATAGTTTTCCTGTGATTTATACACAACAACCACTTCTTTATTCATCATTCATCACTTTAATTGTTTTTACCCCATCTTTTACCCCCTTGTTTATCCTCTTCGGCCAAAGTTTTTTTTTTGGAAAGTCAACCATTCGAATATTTTGAATAAACAAAAAAACCTTTTGTACACATTCTTATATACACTTTTGTACACATCTATGTTTGTGAAAGGTTTTCTTTTTGTCTGTGAACATCGATTCACAGACAATGTTTTGCACAAACAAAATATTGTCTGTGAACCGGATTCACAGACAAAAAAAGCTTCACAAACATGGTGTGTATAAGGTGTGTACAAGGGTGTGTACATCAAGCACTCTTGTTGCATAAATTTGTGATCCCAGTCAATGTGGGATGTATTTATTAGAATCGAGGGAGTAATATCTATATATTATTAACTCAACTAAGTCATTCTCCCGCCTATCATTTTAGGGTATTTTAGTAAACTCCTATCATGAGCCAATGTTCCGCGTTTCTTCCTTATCGCTCAAGAGTTTCCGAATAGCCAGCGCGGTTCTCTTCCTCCTCTCTTCTCAGGGTTTAAGAATTTCATGATCTCTCAAATCCTCCTCCCACACGTTTCTCTTCTTCCTTCTACACGCGAGCCACACAACTCTCATTCTTTCTAAGTACTATTTTATGTTTATCAAATCTATCTCTATCTTGGTATTTATCAAGCATCACAAGAAGGGACCTGCTAGGGTATTTCACTGAAGCTTGAGAAGACAATTGAATTGTATACTTTATTGGGTATGATAGAGATGGTTCTCGAGGAGGTACGTCTATTTTTTGGCAAATCTATTATAATTCCTGTCATTATACATTCTTATTTATCAAGCCTAATGATAGGTATCTTCAATTATAATTGTGATTATGTAAAAAAAGTCATTAGCTTTACACTTTAGGTGATGTAAAAATGTAAAATATATGTGAGTATAAATGAATATCATATGTTGTTTAATTTGAACATAATAGTTCTGAGAATGAGTTGTTTCACTCTGTTACTAGAATTTTTTCCAACCCTTTATCTCTCTTTAGTTTCTCAATCTTTAAAATTGTAGGTTTTGATGGATTGTTATTGCCCTGCCCTTAATTAATTGAATACTCATTAAATAATGTAATAAAAAATTTCTAAAATCGAATTAATATTTGATTTAAAGCAACATAACTCATTATTCAAGCAATTTGAGTAAAGAAAACTAAAACGACCAATGAAAAAATGGTGAATCTATATTTTTCTTCCTCACTAAATGTGTTTTACTGATCAGTATTAATATATGTAGTATAATATTACGGAGTATTATATAATACTAATAAAATTTTGAAATTTTGGGGCCCGTAAATTTGGGGACCCTGTTCTGGATAACCTATTGAACCCCCTAAAAAACGGCCCTGTGTAAAATATATGTGAGTATAAATGAATATCATATGTTGTTTAATTTGAACATAATAGTTCTGGGAATGAGTTGTTTCACTCTGTTACTAGAATTTTTTCCAACCCTTTATCTCTCTTTAGTTTCTCAATCTTTAAAATTGTAGTTTTTGTGGATTGTTATTGCCCTGCCCTTAAATAAAAAATCACTAATGCATTGTGTGTGTTGTCCCTGTAATAGAACGATAGAGGATTTAAAGTTGTTTTACAAAGCCATTGCAACACTTTGTTAACCATATATAATGACCGGTTCATAGTATTTTTAGTGGCTCTGCCGGGATTCTTTACTTTTATTCTCACTTTTAATGAAAGTTCGATTTACTTTGAGTTTAGACCTGTAAAAGAGTGATGTTTATTTCAGACAAATAACCTCATTTTGAAATGCACATAGTTTTCTCTTAAATGTAACTTGATGAGGAATCTATGTGTTAGCATAGAATTTGAACCTACTTTCCTATTGCAAGTTTTCATGAAGTGGGAAAGTAAGAGAAGTATTTGTTTGGAGATTTCGAGACTTCTTTTATGATGATTTTAGAGGTTCTTTTGTTATCAACGAACAATTTGCTTCAAATTTTGATATCTAACATAAGTAGTATGATGTGGCGGGTTTCTCAAGCACTAAAGTGGCTTCGGGTGGAAAGCACTTCAAAAGTTCGCTCCTAGGTTGCTAAAAAAATTCTACTGACTATTATAACCTAATAATGAAATTTATTGGTGATGAGTCTTTCATTTCTTAGTCCTTTAAATTTGTCTTTAACCTGTTATTCCTTTAGTGGTGACATGAACTAAAAGGTGAAAACATACTTCTTTATTCGTAGTCCTTTAGTTTAGGTTGTGATGTTATTACTAAGCTGGTCTAGCTTTTATTCCTATGAGAAAATATTTCTTTATTCGTAGTCTTTTAGTTTAGTTAGTAATGTTATCACTAAGCCGGTCTTTTATTCCTATGAGAAGCATCAAACCAAAATATATTTAATTATTTGTTACTATTGAGGTAAATGACTCATTATAGATTTCTACTTAATTGAAATTGAGGTATATTTGTGACTAAATAAATTTGATGCTGGATTCTTGGTAAACCCATCATTGCAGTCACATAGACTATACACCTAATAATTATGTCTTTCACCAGACTATATTATTGCACTGTAATAATTTTATCACTTTTTATTGGACCCCATACTATTTTCTCAGTCTTGGGTGTTTAGCAAGTCTTGCACTATTTTATGCTAAGTAGAGTATCATCTCAATCATCAATTTTGTAAGCCATACCAGCACTTCTATTCTTTTTTGTTCAGCTATATAAATTATCATCTCATTAGTTACTGCTATTGGAACAGGCGGTCAAATTCTTTTGTTGGTTTATTCATTTTTGAAAGAGAATCTGAAAGTGGAATTTCCCCAATCAAGATGTAACCTCACAAGATGTTAATCGCATGAGTGGTTTAATAGCTTATCAGTAGAAGAAAAAACGTGAAAACTGATAGTATGACTTTCCAAAATAGAAAAAATGTTAAAGGGTATATTTTGTGATTGATCTAAGTGCTTATGTTTCTGAATTTGGTGGGGGGAAACTCGGTGAAGGCTAGGCTACATTTTAGATACATTTGATTGTACCTTTACTCAGTTTACTTTAAGATGAATGAACTATGTGCAATGCATTTGCTTATTCTTGTAGGTAAGCTAGCCATGCTGATTTAACAACTTTTTTCTTACAAGAAATATCAAATTCTTTTTTAGTGTAAGACAACTTGGCTTCGACCACATGAAAAATGATAGTATGACTTTCCAAAATAGACAAAAATGTTAAAGGGTATATTTTGTGATTGATCTAAGTGCTTTTGTTCTGAATTTGGTGGGGGAAAAACCGGTGTAGGTTAGGCTACATTTTAGATACATTTGATTGTACCTTTACTCAGTTTACTTTAAGATGAATGAACTATGTGCAATGCATTTGCTTATTCTTGTAGGTAAGCTAGCCATACTGATTTACCAACTTTTTTTCTTACAGGAAATGATTTCAAATCTTCATACATTTGATAGTATTATTTTTTTGTGTAAGACGGGCTTGGCTTCGACCTTTACAAACTCTACCAATGACAACTCTCTAAGTGAGTCTTGAAGTTCAGCAAAAAGGAAATCACAATCGCTCCAACATTAAGGATTTCAGAGTATGAAACGAGCGCACCTCTCAATAGAATTTATGTGTAGATGCATAAGCTTGGAACAACTTCTTCATATATAATTTGTTCGTTTGATATCCCATACTACAAACAGGTAGAACACAGAGATTTTTAAATATAATGACTACAATAATCTTAGAGAAAAATGCATTTTTACTTTGATTTCTTCTCCTCTTTGACTACGATTTAAAGCATATTAATTACAGAAAAATAGAAATTGTTAGTAGAATTTTATACTTGATTTCGTTCTCAAGAATTCTTCTGGGATTAAGACTTGGATGTTGTTTTTTTTTGTTTATTTCATTCTCAAGAACATGATGTCTTCATATAGATGCATGCTTGATCCTGCCTTTAGATGGGAAACATAAAGTATGTTTTGCCTTCATTTTAAAACATAGTAATGGTAGTAAAACAATGTCATTTTATCTGTGAATCTCCTCTTCTTTGGATAGAAATTCAAAATGTACATATCATCAATTGGTAACGTAGATGAGACAAATTAAAGTTTTTCTTCTCTTAGGCTGTAAGACTTTAAACCATA